GAGAAATGGACGGAGGAGAGAAGACACATAGCGCATGCCACCGGTCAGTGGACTGCCCGTGCTAGCATGTATGGCTCGTAATTCGACCTCTCCTGCAGGCTTGTGCGTTTTCACCGTGCATTTCAAACGAGATATCATTTTAAGGTTGCCTTCGCGGCCCCAGGATAGAAGCGCGTGGACAAGGCGGAGATCATCAAGTTGCTTCCCAGCTTCCTTGACAGCCAGAGCGTAATCATCGAAAAACTCATCTGCTGCATCTGTGGGATTTCGGACCTCTCGGTACCGTGTGGTCTGTACAATATTCAGGCTCTCTGCGACTAATGTTGCCTTAGGAATCAAACAGTAACCTCCATCTTTGTCGGTGGGTAACACACCTATGCCCCCATGCCTGAAAATATCCATTGCCAAAGACACGATCCCAGATAGATTGGAGATGGCCCCCCTGTTGCCCATGTGGCGGCCTCGTGCTCTTCGGCACTCGTGCCACACCCCGTCCACTATTTCTCTGCATGCCTGGTCAAACGACGGTGGCACCGCGGCAGGGCACGGAGGTGTTATCGCCGGCTTGGGTCGGAATCTTCTCCATGGGTTATCTTCGCGATCGTCCTGTTGGGAAGCTGTGTATCTCCACATTTGTTTGTTATACCAACTGTTCAAGGCGATGCTGATGTCGCTCATCTTCGGAGCGCAACGGCGGCGAAATACGTGCTTGCGATGATGTTTCGCAAGCAAAAACTCAATTGGCCATGCAATCATGCCCGGCGGTGGCTGGACAGCTTCTCTCTTATCATTGTCAAATATGTACATGTCTGGAACGTCTTTTCCACACTCCAGTAAATGGCGGAAGTCCGCCACGGTCATGCCTTTCACCATCCTCCAGAAGAGCCTTTCGGCCTGCCTTTCGGTCGGCCCTTGCTCTTGCCTTTGGTTTTCCCGCCTGGTCCACTCTTTGACCCTTTGGCGCCGCCTTTCCCATCTCGATCTGGCGCCGTCGGTCTCCAGGTCGGCCTCGAAGTCGGACTTGTTGTAAACTGCGTTGTGGTAGTAAACGCTTTCCCCTTCCCCTTGTTGTCCTTGCCTTTTCCTGCGTTGACCTTGCCCTTGGATTTGCCCTTTCCTTTGCCTTTTCCCTTGGCCCCTTTCGAATCCTGACTTTTCCCCTTGCCAGAACTTTTTCCCCCAGATTTGGCCCCT